TCAGGAAAGTAATCAAGGAAAAATCTGCTGCTGCGATGTGGTCCAAATTGGAACAACTATACATGACAAGGGCACTTCCAAGCCGTATCTATCTGAAACAGAAGTTCTATGGTTTCAAGATGGATGAAACCAAGTCGATCGACGAGAATGTTGATGAGTTCACGAAGCTGGTGGCCGATCTTGAAAATCTGGAAATCAACATTGAAGATGAAGATCAGGCAATCTTTCTTTTGAATTCCCTTCCTAAACAATATGATCACTTGAAAGATACTCTGAAGTATGGAAAAGAGGCCTTGACTCTTGAAGAGGTACTGAGTGCTGTATTCTCTAAAGAATTGGATTTGAAAGCTAGCGGAAAATTATCTAAATCCAATGGAGAAGGTCTCAACGTCCGTGGAAGACCAGACAAAAGAGGTTCTTCAGATAAAAATAGAGGCAAGTCTCGATCAAAGTCTAAGGGAAGGAGGACCTGCTGGCATTGTCACAAAGAGGGGCATCTCAGAAGGAACTGCCCTGCCAGAAAGAAAGAAAGAAAGTGGAAAATCAGAGGATTCTGGAATCCTTGATTCCGCAAACCTGTCTAATGGGTTTGACACTGCAGATGTTCTGTCAGTTTCAAGCGATGATCCTAAAGACCAATGGATCTTGGATTCTGAGTGTTCATTCCATATGACACCCAGAAAAGATTGGCTTCTTAACTACACTGACCTTGAGGGAGGAAAGGTGTTAATGGGCAACAATTTTGCCTGCAAAGTGGTTGGTCTTGGATCAGTAAAGATCAAGATGTGGGATGGGACAATTAGAACTCTCAAGGATGTGAGACACATCCCTGATCTGAAAAGAAACCTAATTTCATTAGGTATGTTGGATTCCAGTGGTTGCTCATACAAATCACAAGGAGGAATTCTGAAGGTTATGAAAGGGATAATGGTGGTAATGAAAGGCCATCTGCAACATGGTCTTTACATCCTTCAAGGTTCTACTGTATGTGGAGAATCTGCTGTCTCAATCACTAAGGAAGATCAAACCGAGTTATGGCACAAGCGTCTAGCCCACATGAGCATGCAAGGCATGGAGGAGCTGGCGAAGCAGGGATTGATAGACAAGAACAGAATCAGCAAGTTGAATTTTTGTGAAAATTGTATTCTGGGAAAGTCACATAGACTCAAGTTTGGTAAAGCAATTCACAGAACCAAATCTACACTTGACTATATTCACTCTGATCTTTGGGGGTCTCCACAGGTACCATTCTCTCTCTCTAAGTGTCATTATTTTATTTCTTTTATAGACGATTTTTCTAGAAAAGTGTGGATCTATTTTCTTAAAACAAAAGATCATGCATTTAACAAATTCCTAGAATGGAAATCACTGATAGAAAACCAAACTGGCAAGAAAATTAAGAGATTGAGAACTGACAATGGCTTAGAATTCTGTCACAAAGAGTTTGATGAATTCTGTGCTAGGAATGGTATTGATAGGAAACACACTTGCACAAGCACCCCTCAGCAAAATGGATTAGCAGAACGTATGAATAAGACAATTATGAATAAAGTCAGGTGTATGCTTATAGAGTCTGGATTATCCAAATCTTTTTGGGCAGAAGCTACTGCTACTGCCTGTTACATTATTAATAGATCACCATCACCTGCATTAAATTACAAAGTCCCAGATCAAGTGTGGTCAGGGACAGCACCTAGTTATGATCATTTGAGACTTTTTGGCTGCATTGCATATGTGCATGTGAATCAGGGGAAACTAAATCCTAGGGCTAAGAAAGGTGTCTTACTTGGCTATCCTTATGGAGTTAAAGGATATAGGGTTGAGGACAAAAAATGTGTAATCAGTAGGGATGTTGTTTTCAATGAATTTGTGTATTATAAGACTAACATGCAGGAAAAGAATGAACCAGTTTTGCAAGTCCCTGCAAAACCTAATGCATCCCAAGCTGAGGTTGAATTTGAGTCAAATGATCAAGCACTGGATCAGAATCAGATAGATGGTACAGAAGAACAAAGGAATTTGAATCAAGGTGGAGCTCCTGACAGTCTACCTACTTCACCACCTACTACTGTTCAAGATGAGCAAATTCCTGATATGATAGATTTCGAGGACATTGAAGCAGCTGACACTACTAATGAAGAACATGACTTGGTTGACTATGTTCTAACTAGAGATAGAGCCAGACGACAAATAAAGCCACCATCAAGATTTGTTCAAGCGGATTTAATAGCTTTTGCACTCAATACAGCTGATGCAGTTGAAGAAAATGAGCCTGCTAATTATTGTGAGGCTCGAAAAAGTGTTGATTGGGATAAATGGAAGAAGGCTATGGATGAAGAAATGAGTTCACTAAAAAAGAATCACACTTGGGACCTAGGACAGAAACCAAGAGGACAGCGGGTTATTGGCTGTAGGTGGATCTTTAAAAGGAAGCTAGGTATTCCAGGAGTTGAGTTGCCTAGATATAAGGCAAGACTCGTGGCCAAAGGGTACTCTCAGGTTGAGGGAATTGACTACCATGAAGTTTTTTCACCTGTAGTCAAACACACCTCTATCAGAACCATTTTGGCCATTACTGCAATCAGGAACTTGGAGCTTGAGCAATTAGACGTAAAAACAACCTTTTTACATGGTACTTTGGATGAGAAGATATTTATGTTACAGCCTGAGGGTTATAAAAATGGTGATGAAAGCATGGTATGTCTTCTAAGAAAATCTTTGTATGGACTCAAACAATCTCCTAGGCAGTGGTATAGGAGATTTGATGAATTTATGCAAAAACAAGGATTCTCTAGAAGTAAGTTTGACAGCTGCGTGTATCTTTCAAAATTAAAGAATAAGTCCTACATCTACCTCTTGATCTATGTTGATGACATGCTCATAGCATGCAACGACATAACTGAAATTCAGAAATTAAAGCAAGTGTTGAATTTTGAATTTGAGATCAAAGACTTAGGACCTGCAAGAAAGATACTTGGAATGGACATCTATAGAGATAGAAGCAAAGGAGTTCTCACTGTATCACAGCGGGGTTATTTTAAGAAAGTCATCAAAGTTTTTGGTATGACCAACGCCAAGTCTGTATCTACTCCAATTGGTGCACACTGCAAGTTAATGTCAGTTAAAGATGAAGATGCTGCTGCTGAGGCTGAACACATGAAGAATGTCCCTTATTCAAACAGTATAGGAAGCCTAATGTATGCAATGGTCAGTACTCGGCCTGACATTGCATTTGGAGTTGGACTAGTAAGTAGGTTCATGAGTAAACCAGGAAGAATGCACTGGCAAGCAGTCAAGTGGTTGCTCAGATACATTAGAGGAACTACTGGATTGAGATTGGTATACACTAAAGGCAGATATGAGGAATGTAAAGTAGAAGGCTACTGTGATTCAGACTATGCAGGAGATCTAGACAAGAGAAGGTCGCTTTCTGGGTATGTGTTTACCTTTGGTGGAAATACCATAAGTTGGAAGTCAAGTTTACAACATGTGGTGGCCTTATCTACTACAGAGGCAGAATATATTGCCATGACTGATGCTGTTAAAGAAGCGTTATGGCTGAAAGGGTTATTAAGTGAATTGGGATTTGATCAACCTGCAATTCCAATCCACTGTGATTCTCAAAGTGCGATACACTTGTCAAAGAATAGTGTATTCCACGAGAGAACTAAACATATAGACGTGAGGCTACATTTTGTGAGAGATATATTGGCAAGGAAACTGGTGGATATAAGGAAGATTTCAACAGATGTGAATCCTGCTGATATGCTGACTAAAGTGATTCCTGTAAGCAAGTTTGAGGATGCATTGAGCTTGCTTAGGATTTTGGTTATGTAGCACTCACTGCTGTGGTAGGACTTCCAGTCCAATTATGCTGATCAATTGTCAACCAAGGTGGAGATTTGTTGAAAGTTGGTGTCTCCAAATGATCAAGACAGCGAGGCAATTAGAGAAAAGTCAAACAAGTTGGTGCCTGAAGACTGCAGCTTCATTTATCAGCTTATATTTTAGTTGCTGACCTGTCATGTTGTAATTGGTTGTCAATAAGCATATAAGAGAGAGTTGTTAGATTGTAAATATTATTCTGTGAGTTTCATTTGTACTCGTGAGCATCTGAGATAGAGTTTTCTTCTGAGAGAGAATTCTGGGCTTGTAATTTAGGGCTTTCTTGGGTGAGTGTTTGTTTCCTGAGAATCTGTGAGAAACTGTGAGAACCTTACATGCAAAGTGAGTCTTGTACAAGATTGAGTGCTCTGGGAAGATTGAAGTGTACGAACAACTCTTGATAGTGGATTTGGACTGGAGTACAAACTCCTCCCTTGGATTAGGATCACCTTGATCCGAACCAAGTAAATCTGGTCTCTTGCTTTTGCTTTCTTTATTTTCGTTCTTCTTGTTTGGGCTGGTTTTCTGTTGTTGCTTTTATTCTTGTTGTGCAGATCAAAAGGGCGTAATTTCTAACAAAGTGGATGGAGGATAAGATTCCCACTCATCCAATCGGTGGATCCATTAAAACCAAATTAGGCAACTCACCAACATCATGGCCTTTTCTTAGGTAAAAGAATATACCAACTTATTAAAACTTCCCATTTTGTATGGCTCACGTTTCATTAGTTAATAATATCTATTGCCACTGTTATTCACCTAACGACTAGAGTAGGTTCCTAAACCAGTGTAACATGATATAGTTAACTTTAGTTAGTTTATAATTACGGCCAAAGTAGAACTTTCTTGCTAAGAACTCAAAGGGTAATCTCTGAGTACGATTGGTGTCACCACCGGTCATTTAGTGCAGTAAGGTTGTTCAGTTTTCCTGATAAAGTATTGAGTTAAGAGTTAGTCGCACTGCGGTGGGCTGAGATAGATGTATGGCAATCCACTTCGTGAGGGATCAATTTTCAACTGTTAGATTTCGATCGAATTCTGTTAAATTGTTATACTTTTATGTAATTAAAACACAATTGCAACAAAATCTCTAGGTACACCACTCCCTATCCACATAATCCTTTTTAATGATTGTCAATATTACAAAGTATGGGCGGTCTTCTAACAAAGAAGCTAATTTTATCACCTCTTAAGCAGAAAAAAGCTTGGAAAGCCAGTAATTGGAACACAATTTATGCAAGATCATTGTACAGACTCTACTAATGAAGCAAAAGTTGATCAATAACTTGCTGACTAAACCTTAGTCATGTAAACACTATTTACATCATAACATAGTCCTAAAGAAACATGACATATAAAAGAGTGTACATGAAAAACAATTTTTCTGCAATACTACAAAAGAGTGTAAAGTGATCAAGAAAAAGACTAGTCTGAACACTAACCTTGAAAAACTCCTAGCTAAAGAGCATACCATTGAAACTTTCATCAAGGTACTCGCTCAACATTTAGATTCTAGCTATAGCCTAAGTACATAGGTCTCGCCATTCTTCTGGCGGCAAGCTTAACCGATAACCAACACTTGAAGGCGGCGCGAATCTTGGACCAGCTCGCCTTGCGTTTCCCATCCCTTGACACATGTACAAAGCCAGGATTTGAAGGGAAAATCCCCGCTTCTGCGTCATTATTTGAAGCGAAGAAAAAACCAGGCCCTTGCTCCCATGTTGTGGCGACGGGAGAAGTTGAAGATTGGACCTGAAACAAGTTCTCCGTAATGAAATGGTTGCTTGGAACAATTGGCCCCTGCGAACTGCTGGAGAGCCAACTCGGTTCCCCGTCATAGTGAGTGGAGAAAAAGTCCTCTATCGAGAAACTGTTTCGGTGGGATGGTTGGAAAACGAAAGATGGATGGTTGTTTTGAGATGTTGAAATCACTAACTGATGGTTGCCTTCTGATCCACCGGGAAATGGTGATGGAGTTGTCGACTGGCCAAGGCCCAGTTGTAAAACTTGTTGATCTGCAGAAACATATCACGTTCAGTTAATTACAGAAGCATATATCTAAGAGGTCAAATGAGAGAACCAGAGTTTCCAATAAAGAAGGTGAAATGAATGTTAAAAGTGAAGTAGTATGGAAACTTTTGATAGTTTTTGTGCTAATCTCCATACTAGGTGTGTGTGTGTGTTTTTTTTTTTCTTTTTTTGTGTGTGTGTGTGTGTGTGTAAGGAACTCAGTGAACTTCCCCTCTGGTACTGATCAACTAAATCTTAATCATAATCCTTCTCGATTTATTGGCTTTATGTTTAAATCTCAAATAATAAACAGTTAATCAAAAACAGGAAGTAACAACCCTTCATAGCAGTCTTTACTGAACAGAACACTATAAATCAAGAAAGTTTAGTTTTGATATTCAAGAAGTCAATCTTTCTTTCAAGCAAATAGACTCTAACACCATTTTGGTAAATTGTTACCCGAAAATTAAACTGTAGGATATATACATAGGATAAGATTGCATACCTTGATGCATAATTTGGAAGTCATGTTGCATTGGATCATTATCAAAAGGCTGAGCTTGTAGGCTTGCTAAGGGCCTTGGAGGACCAGCAATCGATTCCTTGATCAGCACCATATCGTGCACATTTCGATATGCTTGCTGTTTAATATTTTCAACTAGAGCCTGTCAATTAAATGACGGAACTTATCAGTTTCTAATAATACAAAGAAACATTTCAAAGGCACAACATTGATGACAATAACTCTGAATGGTACCTTCTGGGATGGGGTGAAGGCATTCACAGGACAAAACTGTCCATTAAAGTTTGCTCCTTCAACCTTTAAGATTGAATTGAAGTAGATAATGACATCTTGTTCAGGTCTTTGGTAAGCGTATAGCTTGTTATCATTTACAAAACATATGGCGTGTTCTATAATCGCGTTCCAAGTCCTGTTTGAGATCCCATTTAGTATCTGCATTTCCATAGCCAAAAATAAAAATTTGATTATCATAACATAGATACTAGTTTAGATTCATTTTCACACTGAAAAGGATTCTTTTGCCTTACCAAATCACGCAGTGTGACGGGATCTCTTGTATGCATCTGCAGAAAGTCCTTCACGGTGTGAATTGCGTAGGAAGCCAACCTTTTATGGAATGCTCCGTCTTTCGCAATCTTTTCTAGCCTCCATACGTCATCATGCAGGAATGGAGGGTGATGTTTTTTGTACACTGAAGGAAACAGAGTTTTTTGTCAATGAAATCATGCCTATATAGACTGACATATATCATATATCAATAACTCGAGTTAAAGGTTTTAGAACTCACATTCCCCACGGTGATCTTTGACTACAAAGGCTTCACTTATAGCTTCCCTGATTCTCGTATCCGCAGAATTTTTTTGGACTACTCTAGCTCCCAATCTGAACTTTCTACTCCTAATCCAACTCGAGTTGTCGGTAAAGATGATATTCCCTAGGTAACCTACTCCCTCTCTCAAGGTTAGAGTAAGTTCACCAGTCAATAAGGGCCTTCTTCCTTCTCTTTCACGAAGGATGCTGTTGTTGAACTCTTTCTCGGTCCAGTCCTCCTGGTCATCTGAACCAAAGTCGCCATTAACGGCAACAATCTCGATCTTTATCGAAGAAAGAGGGGCCGATTTGATGACAGTATGGGAACTAGCATCCATTAGGATGACCTGAAGAGATGTCCCATCCTCAGTTTCTATTCGACCGCCTGTGAATATGGTTGCAGGCAACTTGTTCACAAAACGCAGCTGCAGCCCACTTCCTCCTCCTCGTCCTGATGGACATGCCTCATCAACTGAGTGGCTGCAATCAACAACAGAATCAGAATTGATTAGTATTACACCGCGGAAAAATAAATTTTTCATGCTCAAAGTAGTAGGGACTTGAGAAAACAACTACTTGAGTTTGAAGAACTAACCTTGAAGATGCGTTGAACAAGGAATGTATAGCACGTTCCACCTCATCTCGCACCTATAATATAAACACAAAACACAATAGAAGAATGAACTACAAAGGCTTGAAAATAGCCAAACTTCAGTAGAAAGTGACATGGTCCAAAAACAGAAATCTTTCAAACAAACAAAAAAAAATTCAAACAGAGAAACCAAGGAAAAGATGAAAAAGAGACAAAAGAACAGAACTTAGAAACAAAGAGAAGGAAAATATAAATGAGATCAATGGGGGAAAAATCCTAAATGCCATTGACTCAGTGATATCTCACTCTCACCTCTCTCTCTCTCACCATTCAGCATCTCTCCAAGTCCTCAGCCTCTCTCTCTCTCAATCTCTCTCGCTTCTAGGCTCGGCGTCCCTACTACCTCACCATTCTTACTCCTTCGCCGACTAAGCTGAGTAACTCGAGCCTACCGAAGGTCACCCAACGGGATATGAGTTTGTGGACTTAAAAGAATATTGCGGTCTAAAATTTTCTCAATACACACTGTGCGGCTCGGCCCAACCCGAACCTACCCGGCCGAATTACACCCATACGGTGACACCAAAACCTGACGCAATACAATTAATTATCTGAGCAAATCTCACTAAAAAAAATGAGGGGAAAGATATGGGCCTGGGGCCCAAACCAAAAACAAAGCTAATATGGGCTTAATTAAAGCCACAACCCAACAAGAGACGTGCAGAATGGGGAAAGTTTATAACAAATGGAGTGCAACTAATATAGTGATGATGTTTGTATTATTTTAGGGTGCGACGTAATTTTACATTATTTATTTGTATTTATGGATGTAATAGTAAATAGTTTAGGATTCTGTTCAGCAAAAAATAGTTTAGGATTCTGAAACTTTATTTTCACGTACAGTGATATATTTCTTGACTTGTCATAACACTTTGGTAAACTTTTACTGTGACTTAAGCTTAACTAATTAAAAAATTTAAAAAGGACTCTTATTTGTATATGAATCCCATATATTGTTGGATGAGATTCCTATATAATGCTAAAATTGCAATACAGGGGATAGAATATTATAGAAAGATGTTTATAAACAATATGAACATTGCTAATAACTTTCTTTTTAATTAGGTATTTTCCACTAAGATGATGTCGGTTCAACTGACTTCATATGTATACACTTTTAAAGTTTGCATAAATAATAAGTGTTTATGTTGACTAAAAGAAGACGGATAAACATCTGACTTCTATTCCTACTGACTTTGTGTCACTTGCATCAAAGTCAGTATGAGAACCGACTTTACAGATAAAAAAATTCGGATTTTACCCCACTTCTATTCGTAATTATTTATTAGTCTTTTTAAAAATATATATATATTTTCCTACGATATATATATATGTCTTTAATACTCCCACTGAAACCGAAGGCTGGGTCCCTCATTGGACACATCCCCACCCAAACCTTTGAATACAACCCGCTCAGTTTACTGCTATCTGTAAACTTTTCTCCTTAAACGAAAAAAATGAGTTTGGAGAGTCCAAAAAAAAAAAAGACTTTAAATTCCTTTTTATTTCCGCAATATAATTAGCTGGTTCTCACAAGGCGCATCGTCAGCCGTCTCATATGACGGATTGGTAGTAGAGTCATTTTGGTGTTGAATGGAAAATATAGATTTGTGTTCATATGAAGATGTTTGTAAGACTTTTCCAACTGTCTCAAGGACAGTTGAAAACACATGTAGTTTTGGTCTTAATTACATTGGGGCCATGAAATTTATGAAGTCGCGTGACAATTAAAACTATAAATAAAATAATAAGAAGATAGAAAAAAAGGAAGAAAGATGTGGAAAAGGTAGGCGTAGCTAGACAATTTATTGACATTTATAATATATATAATATATATATATATATATATATATAATATATGGTGAACTCTATCTTCATCATTGCTAACCTGTATTGTTTAAAAAGTCAAGAGTCAAGTTGGTCCCCTCCCTTACAATTCTTATATTTATGTGCATTATATATATATATATATATATATATATATTTTTTTTTCATACAATATGTTATTTTTAATTTACGCGTGTATTAAATCTTATTTATTTTATTAATTTAAATTTATAATTTAAATTTTATCTTTTCTTATTATAATAAAAAAATTTTATATAAAATTACATCTTAATTTAAATTAAAAATTTAAATTAACAAACTCAAGACATCTTTATTATTACTAGAGAAGAGATAAGAGTGGCAGTTTCCAATTACGAAAGTACGTCACTATCTTCGTCTACTTAGGTGTAAAGGTCGACAAACTTTTTTTCCTTTTCTAATTTCAAGTGGAAAAAGCAGAAAAAGAAATGCTAGAGAATGAACTCTGAAATAAACTGTAAAGGGATTGATTTTGTTAATTCCTTTTTTTTTTTTAAATAAATGTAAAGGGATTGATATCATTGGTCTTTGTTTTTATTTTATAAATAACTGCAAACTGATGATTTGAAAGTCAACAGTTTTGTCACCTGGGTATATGGTGGTGGTGAATTGACCCATGATGTTCTTTGCAATTTTTGGTTTGCAGTTTTCCTTCCAATTTCCAGGAACTGACCAACTCGTTTCCGGGTAAATTCTGGGAACTCCCCTTTTCCGAAAGAAAATAGAAAAGAAGGCAACTTTTTTTTGTTACTTTTTTTTATTAATTTTTTACATTTATTATTTGATATGTATATTCTATTATTATATTTTTTATTTAAATAATAATATATCATGTTAATAAAATTTACGTGTTAAATTATAAATGCAGAGAGTAACAGAAGTCATTTCTCATATCAGAATCATGATTATCGATTACACATTTGATTTGATTTTTTTAATAAAGAGATTTTAATATCAAATAAAATAATCATAATTATAATCTTGTATAAATATTTTGATTCTAAATTCGTGTAAGTCGGAAGAACTAAACAAGGGGTCTAATTATAATTATAAATCTTGTAAAAATAGGTATTCTAGATTCAAACTTGATTTAAAAAGAACAAAAAAAAAAAAATCCTAAAATGAAAATGAAAATGAAAATAAAAATAAAAGAGAAGACCCAAAAGCTTAAAGTGGTTATGGTTGTCAAACTTTTGTTAAATTGACCAAAAATACGCGTTCGTACTCCCTCTTACAATTTCTCTGAAAACAAAAAAAAATAAAAGATATAGACCCCGTTTTTTTCGTTGATTCGAGTTTAGAATTCGAATTTTGCTACAGTAAAAAGCTCTCAGAAACAGTCACATCTAACTTTTTTGTTACAGTAAAAAACTCTCACACAACATCACATCTCAACTCGAATTAAAAACTCGAATTAGCGAACCGAATGGGCCCATAATTAGTGCTCAAGAACAAGAAACCATTCACAACTCATATCATAACTCAATTTTTTTTTTACTATAGTGTTTTTTTCTTACTTAAAAAAATAATATTTTCTGTCATAAAAATTTAAATTTAACTTTTTATTACAATATTTTTTAAATAAAAAGTTTGAGTTGTGAAAAGAACACCTACTCAATCCTACTCTCTTCACATGAATTATGTTCAACAACAGCAAAATATCACTTCATAAACATGTCATTTCAAAACGCAAACAACATTAAAGTGACATGCAAACTTGGGAGTAGGGATGACAATTTTACCCGTTAACCTATTAATCTGCGGGGAGCCATCTTAAACGGGGCGAGCTAAATCCATTTTAAACAGATCCGAATTGTAAACAGGTTAAAATCTTAACCCGTTATGGATCGCTGGACAGAGGTGGGTTTAGAAGTCCCCGATCTTATTCCCCGTTTACTTGTCCCATTTAATTATATCCTATTTTTAAATATATATTATGTGTAATATGCTATGATTAACGCTTAAAAGTGATGTTCACAAGCGGTCAATTATAGCACAGAATAGCGGTCGTATCCACAGAAAAGTAACAAAATAAACAAGAAAGAAGAGAATAAGAGCGTTAGAGAAAAATAAATAACAAGTAAATTAAAGAAAAAGAAGAGTTTTTGAGATTTTTGTTGCAAATAAAATAAAAAAGAAGAAGATTTGTATGAAGGAAATTTAGTAGTAAAAACGGTAAGGTGTCGAGAATCCCTAATGTTTTGTTCACCAATTCAAGTTTTGATTCACAAAATAAAAGAATCGAATAAATTAAATCTCTATGTTGACTCCGAAAATATTATCATTACAAGTTATCTAAAATCGACAATATATCAATTGGACAATATTGCAATAAAAGATAATTTGTAAAATAATTTGAATAACAAAATAACGCATGACAGAATTACATAAGAAGAGCGTGACTGAACTTATATAAAAATTAGCACACAAAATTTTGAAAAATAAATGAAAGATAGATGAGATTTAATTCATTCAGATATTGAATTTTACAGCACAAGAAATCAAAAGCCCAAATTGGGTCACTCAACAAAAGTTCATCTCTAACCTCACCAAGAGAACTCTAGCCTAACTTGCAAAACATTCTCACAAGTTCTAGAGAGAAAATATGAGACTGACAATAAGACGACAGAAAACTGAATAATAAAAGCTTCTGAAAACCCCTCTTATTTATAGTGTTCAGAGGTTGCCTATCAAATAAGGAAATAAATAATAAAAATAGAAATTACAAAAGAAAAGGAAACAAAATAAAATTACCCATAAATTTGGGGAAATCATATATTTGATTTGGAGAAGAAATCTGGCAACTCGGGGAGAAGAAATCTGGATTCAGCACCCTTAAGGACACGTGTCAAAGCTTGGTTGGAGGAAGTGGATTCAATTCCACGTGTCACGCGTGGAGAGGAAGTAGGGCGCTAGCAGAAAAAGAGAGGTGGGGTTCGTGGAGAACAGCTGACACATGTGGAGAATAAGGTAGGCTGGAAGCTGTCGTGCAGGACCTACACTGAAACAGATTGAAACGCGTTGTAGGTTCCTCATCGAAGAAACGGGCCTTGATGGTTAGGCTGTGCTGGTAACGCACGCATAGAGAGCTGGGGGGGGGGGGGGGGGGGGGGATGCGGGAGAGAGTTGGGCACCATGCGGAGGCTCGGCTTGATGGCTCAATGGGCTGACGCGGCTCTCCCTCTCCAATCGGCTCGTGTGGCTTAATTTTGGCTGACTGAAATTGGCCGAAAATATGGCTTTCATGGCTTCTTCTTATGTAGATTTTTACACTGCTTTCATCTGTAAATAATTAAACAAAAAACTAGATAAATTCCAATTAAAAATATTCTGAATAAAAATAATGGAATTGTTTAATTAAAACTTAAATATTTTAATATTATATAAGTCAAAAGCAGTATTTAGGGTGCATTTTTATGCACTAATCATGCTATAATATATACTTTTAATGTAATCTATTATATAATACATATGAAATTTAAAACTACATTTCTTTTATTTTTAACTTAATGTTTTGCATGGTTGTATTATTTAATTAATCATTTATTTATTTTACAATAAAAATAACTAATCGGGTAAATAGAATACCGCGAATACTCTCAACCCGTGGCAAGAAAATCCATCCCATAACCTGTCAACTTATGCTGGTTCATAAGAATTATGTTTTTGTTCGTTGAATGGGTTGGCAAAAAGGCCACCCCACCCCAAATCAGCCCCACCGCCATCTCTATTTGGGAGAAAGAAAAGTTGAACATAAGTTGGCATGCTATTGGTGAAGTATAATTACGCAGCTTGTAGTTTCATTCTGCCTACATAAAATGACACATTTGACTTTACTTATTATTATGTAATTTAAGAAGATACTTGTCAAGCCCCGAAGCCGCGGTCGGTGACGTGGATGCTCGATTAGGGGTTAAACGCGATTAAGAATAAAATATTAAGGAAATTCCCAAATGAGCCCCACTATTTTACCGAAAATAAATTACAAGAACACCTCAAGAGGCTAAAACTCCCGCCTTTAACTCTGTTCAGGGCTACACCCACAGGATCTATCCACAGGATATGCAGCATTGTACATACATGAACACGTAAATAACATTACAGACATCAACCACAGTCTAGAAATCTAAATATCAAAGTTTACAGAAGTTACAAATCTTACATTCGTACACAGGGAGGATGATCTCAATCCTCACCAAATCAGTTGGTAGCAACTAACTCAGCTATTCAGCACTGCTCCTAGAGTCGCCTGGGAGGGGTTAATATTTATAAAACATTAAAACGTGAGTGAAAGGCCAGAAGGATATATTTTGAAATAGCTATCTAAATAAATAAATAAATAAATAAACAAGTAAATAAATAGATAAATGAATAAATAAGACATTCAGTTTCAACACAACAGCCGGAACCTCACATCCTTTTTTCTCAAAAGAAATATAACTGAAAATCTCCGTATTACAGGCATCAGCAAGTAATTTATACTATGATAAATTACTTATACAACCAAATGTACAAGCCATATCACCCCGGGCCGGGTATCGGGTCCTGTCCCCAAGGATGCACTCTCCACATCCTATCTAGGTCATCAGCCGGTTTACCGATTTGCAAGATCTCTTATCTTAAAAAATGATTCATTAAACTTTATGAAACAGTCCATTATACTCTCCAGAATCTACAATAAGCCATGGGGATTAAAATGTTTTTCTTTCGCAAACATGCCCTTTCTTTAAAACATTTGCAAGGCCAAAATCCTTTTGAAAACAGGCTCACAAAGGAAATGGTAAGAAATCCTACCTCACAAGTACCAAACCTGGCTAGTGTTACACTATTCCGGCTTTTGCTTCCTCAAGCCCCTCAATCCGAGTCCTCAGCTAGCACTGATACAAAACCACGCTTTAGGATCCAATTCACATTCCTAAAGCAATTTCAATATCAATTATACCATTCGATTTCCTATTAGTTTGCCATAATTCAATTACAGGTTTCAGAAACCATTTCATGTTTCAAATCATCATTCCAAGGGTTTTTAATCTCAAAACATGGATTAAAGAGGCAAATCCATTCACTCTAGGTCCCTAAATAAAGCTAATTTGGGTCCTCCTAGAAAACCGAGGACAAAATAGGGTTTTTTAACAAAACATGGTCAAACCCAGTGTACACCGGTCGACCGGTGATAGAGCAGTACAACACCACCAGTCGACCGGTGGTGTGCAATTTGGTCAACCGCACAGGTCGACCTAATGTAGTGCAGACCGGTCGACCGCATAGGTTGACCGGTGGAATCAAGGCAGGATGGCCAACATGGCCGATCCGAAGAAAATCAACGCAAAACCTGCAAATTCGAGTTCAAATATGAAATATCTCAAAGGAAAACCACTAGATCTGGGTTCTAGGTACTAAATCAAGTCCAAAGAACCCAAGATCTCTAATTTCTATCATGGTTTTACTCAAAATCCATCAAAATTCATTCCGAACCAAAATAGGGTTTCTAAATTCAAAAATCCAATAGGGTTTCTAAATCCGAAAATCCAAGAATCAAGAGAGGTTTTTTTTTTTTTTTTTTTTTTTTTTTTTTCAGAAATCTTACCTCAAATCCTTCTCTTGATGTAGAAAACTTCTTGAAATTTTTCTCTTTGGTTTGAGATTTGGTTGTTTGAATCAAAACGGGAGAGAGAGAGAGAACGAGAGTGAAGAGAGAGAGAGAGAGTGAGAATGAGCAATGCACGTGAAACAAGGAAAAAGGAAGGAAAGAAAAAGGAAAAGAAAATGAAAAATGAGTGTGCAAATATTTAAAATGACAGTCCAGAAATGTGCCCATACACACTTCTGGGTAAAAATGTAAATACTAAGAATATTTAAATACTTTGGAATTATTCAACTTTACACGTCAGAAACATTTATTAATCAATAATTAATTAATTAAACCAGATTAGGCACACTAATAAATCTCAATTACCTCAATTAATCTTGTTTAATTCTTCGGGGTGTTACAACTCCAACCCCTCAAGGAATTTCATCCTCGAAATTAGGACTTACCTCAAAGTGAAAACAGATGCGGGTACCGCTCCTGCATCGTCATTTCAAGCTCGCATGTCGCTTCCTCAACTCCATGGTGCTGCCATAACACTTTCACTAGTGGTATCTCACGATGACGCAAACCCGATCAAGAATCTAAACTCGTGCCTCCTCGTATGTTGCGTCATACTATATTGGAACGTCATACCATTGCATCATCACTTCCGGCTCAGGTTGACATTTGCGAAGCATGGAGACATGGAACACATCATGCATGTGAGATAACTCAGGCGGTAAGGCCAGGTGATACGCCACGACACCAACTCGTTACACGATCGGGAATGGTCCAACGTACCTTGGTGTAAGTTTTTCTTTCACTCCAAAATGAACAACTCCTTTGCGTGGAGAAACCTTTAACAGAACGAAGTCGCCTTCCTAAAATTTCAAAGGCCTACACCTTCTGTCAGCATAGCTATTTTGATGACTTTGAGCCATGAACAATCGTTCTCGAATCACAACTATCTTCTCATTGTTCTCTTGAATCACTTATGGTGCAGTAGTAAGTCGATCCTCTGGTTCCAACCAACAAACAGGTGATCTGCAGGGTCGACCATAGAGAGCTTTGAACGGAGCCATGCCGATACTGGCCTGATAGCTATTATTGTAGGCAAATTCAGCAAGGTGCAGATATTTCTTCCAATTTCCACCAAAATCTAGAATACAAGCACGAAGCATATCCTCCAGAATCTGAATAACTCTTTTAGATTGCCCATTAGTCTGAGGATGAAATGCTATGCTGAAGTTCAATTTTGTTCCCATGGCTTCCTGAAAACTTTTCCAATACCTCGCATTAAAATGAGTGTCGTGATATGATATGATCAATAACGGCACTCCGTGAAGTTTGACGATATGCTTCAGATACAATTCAGCCAGAACCTTTCGAGAATACGTCGCACGAAACAATATGAAATGCGTAGATTTCGTCAACCTGTCCACCACCACCCAGATGGCATCGTGCTTCTGCTCAGTCCTCGGTAGTCCCATCAGGAAGTCCATCGTGATGTGCTCCTATTTTCATCCCGGCACAGGTAGAGGTTGCAACTCTCCCGCTGGTTTCTGGTGCTCAGTTATAATCCGGAGACAAGTCACACATTCTGAAACGTGTTCATGAACGTCTTTCTTCATACCTCTTGACCAGTATTACCTCTTCAGGTCCTGGTACATCTCTTGGTCTCCGAATCAAATTCGGATGCGGAAGCGTGGTGGTGCGGGAAGGGAGGCGGATCGTGTATGACAAAAATTTTCATAAAACTTTTGAGATACTCTATAGATTATATTAATTTATGCACGAATAAATTAATCTCGTTAACTTATATATATCAAGAACTCAGTCAAGAAAAATACCTGGAAGCCAACTCGGATGATAACTTGAGTTCTTTGACCACGAACAGTCCTTGCTCCAATCTTTGTGTTTAGAAAACCAATGTCTTCCACGTCAATTCCTAGAATCCACGAAGACGTGTGTGTGGGCACACATGAGACAAAACGGGTTACAATAAACACTCAAATTTCTACAAACACCAACGTATGCACGATGTGGAATTTTTTAGAGAAAAAATTTTTTCCTTCCTCTCTCTCTTGAGAATTTCGGCCAGCCTTAACTCTTAGGGCTGAAAAATTGTTTCCAAAATTTCTATAGAGAAATTTCGGCTACCTCTAAAATTAGGGCAAAAAACCATATAAAAAATTGTCTCAAAAATAGTATTTATAGAGTAGAAGTCAAACTTATAGAAGGAATCAAATCTCTATCTCCAATTTAAATTTCGAAACGAAATCTCCTCTATCCCTTATCCCTTAGTGTGGCCAGCCATGCTAGGGACTCATATCCCTGTGTGGCGCCAATACTGGATAGGGAAGGAAGAGAAAATCATCATTTATCCTGTAGTCCAATTTTATTTCAAATTCAAATTCGAATTTAAGTCAAACTTAAATTAATTTGAATTCTAAATTGAACAACTTATCAAATAAGTTTAAATGGATAAATCTAGATGTGTTCAAATTCAAATTTAAATAATCACATTATTTAAATAATAATTAATTCTCAATTAATTATTTTTGAGTGTTTAATTTTAGAATTCCGTAATTCTAAAATTCCCATTTTGCCCTCTGTGTCTGGCAGAATGACTAGGACGACGCGGGGACTAATGGACCTATAATCCCGAGCTCCAATAAAATTAATAATCAATTAAACACTTTAATTAATTAATTAATTCTATTAATTCCAATAGTTACTCCACTATAAACTTGGAATTGCACTCTC